GTTGTTGGGGGGGGGGGGGGGGGGGGGGCTGTAGAAAGTGCTACTGACCACCAATGATTTAGTGATTGTTTTTCTTTCTTTTTTAAAAAAAGGTGGGGTGGTTTAAAGAAGTACCACTATTTTTTAAGTAAAAAAATAAAAGGTAAATGAAAGCAAACCCACATTTTTGGTCCTTTCGCTTATAAATTAAAAAAATAAACAAAAATCTCCCTGTTAATGGAGGAATATCTACAGGTTAGTACTCAAGTGGTTCATTTTCTGGATCTTGTTGGGCCATTGCTGTTGGCCCTGGATAAGAGCATAATATCATGCTTATCAAATCCATTGTCAATCAAAATCTATAAAATAAATTGTTTGCCCAAATGTGACATGTCAAAACAATTTGTAGAACTATGGATTATTGGACACACAGCTTTTTCCATAGAAGCATTTCATTTTATTTATTTTTTTGCAGGAGGATTTGGAAGTATTCCCCATCGCTGTCATCCAGCGCTGTGACACTGTTCTCCCAGAAAGGAGGAACTGTTCTCTTTTGGTATTGGTATGTCAGGACAGATACCAGCCCAAAGCTGATGTCCACTTCTTCCAGTGTGACAATGTTGGGGTAATGCATCTTCTCTGAGAACTATTAAAAAGGAAAGCATTACACTTAAGCACAGCAGTTCCTCAGTAATTTATTTTTACATTCCCTAGGCGGAGCTGATTAGTGAAGATATTAATAGTGCAGTATCTGATTTAAAAAATGGGCATACTTCCAAGAGGCCTGAAGCACTCAGGTATGTGTTCAGTAATTAATGCATTATGTTTTTTTATGTAGACAAAGTACAAAATGTTTTAATAAATAAGACAAAAAGTCAAGTTTTTTTGTAGTCAATGTCGCTGCTGGGAAGTTCTACCCCTCTATATGTCCTGATGACCACTGACACCGAGACAGCAAGTAGGGGGACAGTCTAAATTTTAGAGTTGTCATCAGAGCAAGAGGTGAGGTGAAAGCTTCTAATTGGGACAATTGTTCTGGTGACATTTGTCCAAGGTGAGAATCCCCTTTTACTTTGGGTAGATTTCCTCCTACGTCTTGTTGCATCACCAAGATATTAAGTGAGGGGAAATGTCCCTAACAGGAGACACAAATAAAACCCTGATAATGGTGTTAACTCTTCCCTACTCTATTCAAATTAAGAAAAAAAACTTTTATCTCTACATACACTTTTAATGTTGCTTAGGTTTAGAAGGCTTTGCAGACATATAGCAGAATGTGAAACAAAGGGTTTGTTTAAAATGCTTTTCTAAGAAAATGCCATAAAATGGCAACAGCTTAAGCATAGAAATTTCTCTTGCTGCAGAAAGCCATACAGTATATTATTTGACACTGATAGATTTCAGCCGGACCCTGTAAGGAAATGTCAGGCGCTTGCAAGGCTACAGGAAATGCTCTCTGATTGCTTGCGGAATGCTTCTTAATTCATGTTGCATTGAGAGAAATCCTGTTTCTAATACCCATGAGGCATTTTTTTCACAGGCTGCAAAAAGGGGTCCTTGACATTGTTCAGGACACAGGCAGATGCAGGCTGATGATTGGACAGTGGCCAGAGCTATGAGGACCACCATATAACCCCTACCACGCTTACCAGAAATCCTCAATTTTTTTGCAAGTGTGTTTAGGTGATGGATGTCTCCACTCCTACAGTGTTGATATGTTTTTTAGGCCTTTTTCCAATATTTCCTTATTCAAGATGTCTCTCGATGCATTTGGCCATTGCGGCAACTTTCACTGATGCTACCCTCCTCTGATGCATCCATTGTCCTGCCAGGTTTAGCTAATTCCTCTTGGCTTAGCAAGGAGGATTTCTTAGCCTCCATTTCCATTTTAATGGGACACACACAGTATTTGACATGTTTCAATCTAAAGGTCGCAGAGGGCATAAATGCAGTCCTCCATTCTCCTCCCCTTTTGAATCTCTTTTGGACACTGCCATGGCTAGCACCCTTATTCCCAATAAGGAGGAAGGTATGGTTGTGGAGGACGATTCCTCATCAGACTCTGAATTTTCCTGACAGGAGGAACTTTTGCGATTCTGTTGCTGAAAATGAATTACACCATTTTGGTACTCATTGATAAGGCGCAAGAGTGTCTGGCACTTGACCATCCTGTGCAGGCTTGCCCAAAGGTCACCAGCATGGGATCCCCTAAGAAGAAACCTACTAAGCCTTTCTCTACACACTCACTGGTGAAGGAAGTATTGTATTTAGATTGGACACATACTGAAAATCTGTTTACTCTGCAAAAGTGTTTTGCACAACAGTACCCACTTGAGGAATCCCTCTCCAAAAAGTGGCTGGTGCCTGAAGGGGATACCGCTATTTTGTGTCTTAAATCGTTAATGGTGCTGGTGGAAAAAATTCTGGCCTTTAAGGATATGGTGAAAAAGCACTTCTAGGGCTTGTTTAAGGCTTCCTTCACTCTCTTTCACCTACTTGGCAGCCAGCAGTGGCTTCCATGGAGGTGTGTCAGCTTTTGCCTGGTGCTAACCTCTACTGTATGGAAAGCTTGGCTGTCACCATGCTGGGAAACAACCATGGATTACAGTAAGGCACACATTACAGTATTGTTTTATGTTAAAAAATCTGAGGGTTTAATGTCACTTTAAGTACTGGTCAGGGGATCTGTGGTGCAAACAGTGCCTTGGGAGAATTCTCTGCATGGGTGAATGCCTCTTCGGAGAGTACTGGAACACTTTCATCAAGAAGGTTACTGGTGGAAAGAGCAACTCTCTTTGGCAGACTTTACACACAAAATAGTTTTCCTTTTTGCCATCACCTCTGCTAGGAGGATTTCAGCGTTGGAAGCACTATCATGCAAAGAAACTTCCTTGTTCTTCACAAGGATAAGATTGCTCTCAGGCCTAGGAATTCTTTTTCTGCCTAAGGTGGTGTCTTCCCTTCACCGTAAACAGGACATTGCCCTTCTTCCTTTTTCCCTGCACAAAAGCTAAGGAGATTTACCTCCACTGTTAAGATGTGGTTTGGGCTGCCTGAGTCTACCTCTTGGCTACAGCCTCCTTTAGGCAATCTGATGGCTTTCCAAGAGGACCTTGCAGGGGCCTCCCTGCATCTCGTTCCACAATACAGGTTATTGAACATGCCTATTCGGCTATAGATAAGGTTCCACTCTTTTCTATTAAAGTGACACTAAACTCAGGAGTTAAATCTTAAAAATGCATTCAAGTACCTTTAACTATTAACAAAAATGTAGCTTATTTGTGTATCACTCAGCTGTAGATTCCTCAATCTCTGAATTTGTACTGACACTGTCCTTCCTCCTGGAGGGTGGCTACTTTTGTTCCCCATGGTCATTGTGTGTGTTGTAAAGTAGCCACCACTCCAAGCTCGCTCCTGTGATGGACTACAATCTCATGTTTAGTTTCCTAATTTGTATTGAGATTGTAGTCCATCACAAGAGTGAGCTTGGAGCGGTGGCTACTTTACAACACACACAGGGACCATGGGGAACAAAAGTAGCCACCCTTAAAAGGAAGGACAGTGCCCACACCAATTCAGAGAGTATTTGCGGATCTACAGCTGAGTGATACACAAATAAGTTAAATTTTTTGTTAATAGTTAAGGTACTTGAATGTATTTTTAAGATTTAACTCCTGAGTTCAATGTCACTTTAAGGCATATTGTATCAGATCTGCCAGTGCCTATTGGGCTTTTCAGCATTAGGCCTCTGATCTGCAAATTTGTAAGCCTGCCACCATGTTTTCTGTTTATGAGTTTACTAAGTTTTACCAGATAAATGTTTGGTCCACTGTTAATGATAGTTTAAGCCCACCCCTCCGTTGTATTGTTTTAGGGTGTCCTAGTTATCTCTAGATCTCACTTTGTTCTGTACTGTATGATCAAGAAAATAGGATTTCTTTTTGCAAATTTAAATTTTTTTAACAAAGGCCCAGAAAGGCAACATACAAATAATTCAAAATAGATGAAAAATGCATGTCTAAAAAAAATATAAAACACAACATTACAGGCAAATAAAATACAGTGGTTTGCAAAAGTATTCACCCCTTGGCATTTTTCCTATTTTGTTGCATTACCACCTGGAAGTAAAATGGATTTTTTTTGGACTACATATAATGGACATACACAAAAGAGTCCAAAATGGTAATGTGAAACCAAGAAAATAACTCGTTTTAATTTTATTAATAAAAAACAGAAAAGTGGTGCATGCATATGTATTCACCCCCTTTGCTATGAAGCCCCTACATAACATAGTAACAGATGTTGAATAAAGACCAATGTCAATCCACTCAACCTATATATATGTGTGTGTGTGTGTGTGTGTGTGTGTCTGCATTTCTGTGTATTTAACACTTCCCATATCCTTGCATATTTAGTGACTGAAGAAACTCATCTAGACGTTTATTGAACGTATCTATCCTATCAGTGGATATCACTACCTGTGAAAGGGAATTCCACATGTTTACTACTCGCACAGTAAAAAACCTGGTGCATTCTAAGATTGAATGTATTCTCATAACTGTTCTTGGTGAAAACAACTTGTTTCGAATATTGTGGTCCCCATTGATGATTATGAAGACTGCAATAAGGTCCCCTCTTGTCTCCTTTCTAAGGAGAATACGTTTTTCTTGGAGGCGGTCTTCATAGCTCAGGCCTTCTATCCCTTTAATTAGTTTTGTGGCCCTTCTCTTAACTCTCTCAAGCTTGAAGAAATCCTTCCTGAGAGTTGGCGACCAAAATTGCATTGGATACTCAAGATGAGGCCGAAACAGTGATTTAGAAAGTAGAAGTATTACTCTATTATCCTTTGCTACAATCCCTCTTTTAATGCAGGACAGTATCATGTTTGCTTTGTTTACCGCAGCTTGGTATTGTATGCTATTGCCAAATCTGTGATCTATGAGCACCCCCAGGTCCCTTTCCATGTCTGTCTTCCCTAATACAGCCCCCCCAGGTAGTAGTTTGCGCACTCATTCTTTTCACACATGCGCATAACTTTACATTTTTCAACATTAAATCGCATATGCCAATGTGTAGCCCATGCTTCAATTTTATCTAGGTCTTGTTGAAGTGCAAATATCTCCTGTTTAGAATTTACTGCCCTATAGTTTTGTATAGTTGGCAAAAATTTAAAATCAAACTATCTATCCCAAGCTCTATGTCGTTGATGAATAGGATAAACAGGATTGGTCCCAGGACCGACCCCTGGGGCACCCCACTCCCGAGTTTTGCCCAATTAGATAATTAACAAATTATTACTACCCGCTGGGTCTGTTCTTGCAGCCAGTTTTCCACTCGTGCAGTTTCCTCCAAACCGATAAACCTAAGTTTGTGAATCAAACATTTGTGGGGTACTGTATCGAACGCTTTAGCAAAGTCCAGATACACCACCTACAGTATACTGGTATTCCTCTGTCTAAATTAGTACTGACCTCCTCCTAAAAAGTTAGAGTGGTCTGACAAGAACAGTCCTTCATGAAGCCATGCTGGTTTCTACTTACGATACCAGGTTTATTTGCAAATTCCTGCATGTAGTGCTTTTCCCCTTTTTGTATATTGCATATGTGGATATGCTCTCCTCCAATCATCCGGTACAAGTCATTAGAGTGTCCATAAAGATTATGTACAGTGGTCTGCCTATGACCTAGCTAAGTTCCTTGAGTACCTGCGGATGTAACCCATCAGGTCCTGGGAATATGTTTACATTTAATCTTTCTAGCCTCTGTACTACTCACCTCTCTGACAGTCACTGAGATAC